CTCTAATTATTTATCAAAATATCACTCTTTTACTTGAAACCCAAAAAATATACGGATGACTTAAAGATTTTTATGTATGTAACACCTAAACCTAGGAAAAAAACGATTGATTAAACACATTTTTCTTGACATGGAAAGACCCTAAAAATAGCAACGAACAAAACGCATTTTTCCCAGAATTTGAGCAATACATAATTTGTTAGAAAAAATGTGTGTATAATTAAAATGTTATATTTAAACACTTAAAAGGACTATTATCTAACATAAATCTCATATTTATTAAATATCATGTTTTTTATTTAACTGTTCAAATATAATCTCTTAAACATATAAAACAAAATTAAGTGGAAATAGATGTTGGGAAAAATTTAACAATTTAAAGATGGTATCATATTAATTAAAATTTTAAACATCTATTTTCTCCTAATTTTACCATCATATACTTATTAAATGATTAAAGAAAAGAATCATCCATGTATTGTTGCTGCTTAGCTTGTACTAATATTAACATGTAAACCTAACATAAATTTTGAAGCCCTTGTAGTCAGTGGTAGGTCCATAATGTACTTATGATGAACATATACTTATCTTGAAATATAAATCTTCTTCGATTAGTTATTTATATACTGAAAATGTCCACTTTAATAAATTTGTGCCTATCATTTACAAAAGTTTTATGTTAAAAAAAAAAGATTTGGTTATGTGATTATTTGTAGTAGAAATCAGGATGACATCAACAATGATATGCAAAGTGGACCTGTTGAAATCAGGATGACATCAGCAATGATGTGCAATGTCTAAACATTTCAACCAGGAATGACTGAGCCCGCCCGAGTGATTGGGAGTCGGGACCAGTGAGTCAAAACTCAAATGGTACATGTACATAGTATCAAAATGGAAAAAGGAACTGCTTTACAGTCAATATGGAGTGAGACATGTTATTATATCGTTGTGACTTTCATCCCATTTGTTTATGAATGAAAACAAAGGAGACCAACCTCATTTGTCTTGTATGTGAGCAAAGAGAATGGACAATTCCAAGTCCTATAATTCATATTTAACATCATTTTCTTATGGATGTAAAAATCAAAATGATCTTTTTTTTTATGGAATAACCAACAATGAATATTATCTTTATATGAGCGGTTCGGTGTTTTTGATGATCGCTACCTTTTATTAATAGTAACTTACGTATTTATTATCTCCCTTGTTATTTTTTTCACATGCGCAACCCGAGGTTAAAGACAGTATTTCAAAACCTCAAATAAGTTTTCTTAAATGACATAATATCAAAAGAAAAATACTTTTAATGTTATATTAAATAGGTATTTTAGTTTTTTAGAACATTACGACTCTGAATGTTTTTTTGGAAGAAAAAAAATCATATATAGATGAAAATAGTTAGTTAACAAACATAATTTGTATATTTATTTTTTTTATTACTATTAATTTTTTTAATGTTGGGAGTCAAAATACTTTAAAAGAATAAAATTCAAAATAATTATTTAATTTAATGTTAGTGACATTTTTTAAATAGGGTAAAGTATAGTAATGGTCACTAAACTTTTCTAAAGCTTTCATTTAGGTCCCCCAACTTTTAAAACTTGCAATACAGTCCCCAATATTTAGTACGTTTGCAATATGGTCCCCAACAGTTACGTCGGAGACCATATTGCAAACGGACTAAATGTTGAGGGACCATATTGAAAATAGACTAAATGTTGGGGGATTATATTGCAAGTTTTAAAGTTGGGGACCTAAATGAAAGCTTTAGAAAAGTTCAGTGACCATTACTATACTTTACCCATTTCTTTTATTTTTACCTAGCTGGTCACTGCATGTTACTTGGAGCGAATAGACCTTTCTGCCCATGGATTTTATATCACACCTGATATTGGCTTTGATTGGAGCAGCGGTAAAGGAAAGCCATTCAGTTATTACACCTATGGGGCTGCATTCGCTGAGGTTGAAATCGATACATTGACCGGAGATTTCGACACAAGAACAACAAATGTTTTCATGGATCTAGGATATTCTCTCAACCCTGCAATAGATTTTGGCCAGGTTCATTCCCTTGCTTCTTTCTAATTAGGCTGATCATTCGAACTTAATTATACTTTTCAAGTTGAAATGTCTATTCACCTTGATTATATATGCAAGAAAAGAGTCATAATATGCACATCACTTCAGCGTAGATATGTAATTGTTCCGGGTTTCAGAATGTTAATGTTATATTACAAATATTGTTTTCAAGAGGAACTAATGGTTCAAAAAGGATGGAACTTGGAAGCAATGAGAATAGTGCTCTCTGTGCTTCCCTTTATTAGAAAATTCATAATGATGTTTCTCCTAAAGAAGGTTAACAAAAACGTGGTGATCTCGGGTAATAATCTCTAAAACAAGATTCAAAACAGAGTTAAAAAAAATGATAGGTCTACTAAATAAGTCATACCTGTTGTTTCCCCCTATTTTTGTTTAGTTACATGTCATTAATCTCCATTCTTAACTTTTTATCTTATCGACAAGCTAATGTTTCTATATGTAATTCGGTCTTTTAATGCAGGTCGAAGGCGCATTTATCCAAGGTCTTGGTTGGGTTACCTTGGAAGAACTCAAGTGGGGTGACTCATCTCATAAATGGATTCCATCTGGCTGCTTGTACACATGTGGGCCAGGAAGTTACAAAATGCTGTCTCTAATTCTAAACGATATTCCTTTCAAGTTTAATGTTTCTCTATTGAAGGTAATGTTTCTCTAAACGATATTCCGTTGAAGATGCGTCATCTTCTTTTCTCTCTCCAAACCTCATATCAGTAGTTGCATGGTCATTTCTTATTCCAGTTGCAACTGGAACTGTGTTTTGCCACCTATTAGTTGATTTTGAAAGTAGTTCTTTTGGTTCTAGATAATTTGAAGTCTTTGTTTATATGCTTGCGTGCTGGTGGGCAGGGTAATCCAAATGTAAAAGCCATTCATTCATCAAAAGTTGTTGGCGAGCCTCCGTTTTTATGGCTTCATCTGTTTTCTTCGCCATCAAAGACGCCATTTTAGTCGCCAGAGCAGAAACGGGTCATACCGGGTGGTTTCCACTAGATAATCCCGCAACACTAGAACGAATCACAATGGCGTGCCTAGATGAATTTACAGCACCATTTGTAAGCTCTGGTTTCCACCCAAAGCTTAGTGTTTGAGATGGTCGTGGATTGCTTGTACCATTGCAGGCAGAGTTTCAATTATGCCATGATTTTACAGATTAATTCAGTTTAACAAACTATCTACTTGTCACTACACATCAGTAGCCTTGGCCCTCACCTATTTGCCAAACAAAAGGATGAGCATCATAATACAATTAATGCTAAAATGTATCTTTAATTAGTTGAATGTTTGCAAATAATTTTTATTCCACTAATGGCTTACCAAAACGAGAACAAGTCTGGTCTACTTTTTCTTGTATGGTAAAGTTTGATTTAAATAATAAAATACTTTCAAACAACTATTTGTTAACCAAGTCAGCCTGCATACTGCTAGTGCTTCAGTTTTATGAATTATGATTTCACTCTTATGTTATTTTAAACCCAAATACATTAAGGTATACGAGAGAACTGGTTCAGAAGTTACCTAAACAAAAATATATAAATAACTGAGAGATAATCAATGTATAATTTATTATAGGGTAAAGTATAGTAATGCTCACTGAACTTTTCTAAAGCTTTCATTTAGGTCCTCCAACTTTTAAAACTTGCAATATAATCCCCCAACATTTAGTCTTTTACAATATGGTCCCTCAAGATTTAGTCTATTTGCAATATGGTCCCCGAAGTAACTATTGGGGTACCATATTACAAATGGACTAAATGTTAGGGGACTGTATTTCAAGTTTTAAAAGTTAGGGGACCTAAATGAAAGCATTAGAAAAGTTCAGTGACCATTACTATACTTTACCCAAATGTAGTGTTTTACTTTCTTATTACTACGAGTTTTTCCATTATCCATTTTATGATTTATATTTAAACTATTGTTAAATTTAGAGAATTATTAATAAATCTTCACCAATAATTTAATAAAACTTGTTTAGAAATTTATTTGATACATTGTGTCAAATTTAAATTTTACAAATATACATTTTTGAAAGTCTTACATTTTTTTTGAATACATCCTCTTATATATTTGAATTATCTTAGACTTTGAATCTTAAATTCTAAACTCTAAATCTTAAATTATAAATTCTAAATTCAAATAATATAATCATATATATTAAGTAAGACACATGATAATAATACAATCTAACTTGTGACTGTTACTGTATTACATAAAATTCGGTTAAAGCTTTCAAATTATGTATAGGGTTATAAATGAGTCTAGCTCGACCCGATTCAAAATTTTTAAAGCTAAGTTTGACTCGAAAGCTTAGGAGCTTAAAATTATTAAACTTGCCTTAAATTCGAAATTAAAAATTAAAACTCGACTTGAGCTCAAAAAATTTGAACTCAAAAAATTTGAACTCAAAAAATTTGAACTCAAAGCGTTCTCAGACTAACTCAATTAGAACTTGAACTCGAACATAAACCTTAAATTCTTGCAAATCTTGTACTACCTTTAGAAAACAACACTCAACTATTAATGTTATTAATAATTTAATTTAAAAAATTAAAAGTATAATTCATTTTGTTTGAGTTCTTCTCGAATTTTTTGAATAAGGTATCAAATGGTCAATTGTGACCGGTTTAAAACTTAAATTAAATATTAATTAAACTTTAATTAATTTAAATTCAAATAACTTGGTATCTGCTCGTATCTATGATTATGTATGAACGTGGTTGTGTTCAGCAACGGTTCGTACCGCGTTTTACTTGTTTTTTGGACCACCAAAAACCTGCACATACTGACTCTCTTTACTCTTCAACACGCTTAGATGCTTCAACAAAAGGCAGTATCCCCCCTTCACCTATAAATATCTCTCCCAATCAGCCGCCATTTTCATTATCCGAAACTCCCACGAACATTCAAAAGAACCCAATTTCCCTGCAACATTCTCGGGAACCAAACAATAACGCCTTTTGTTCAATACATGGTGAAGCCGCTGCCCGAATCACCCACGCATGTTGAATCGACCACCCCTTCTTCTTCTTCTTCCAAGTACAAAGGCGTACGACTGCGTAAATGGGGGAAATGAGTGTCCGAAATCCGACTCCCCAACTGCCGCCAACGTATCTGGTTAGGTTCTTACGACTCGCCGGAAAAAGCCGCGCGGGCGTTCAAATATTGCGCGGCAACAAAGCTAAGTTCAATTTCCCCGACAACCCTCCGGATATTGTTGGGGGAATGTCGCTTAGTCCGCTCGAAATTCAAGCGGTCGCGTCTAAGATCGCGAACGAGTCCACAAATAACAGCTGTTCCGATACCAACAATGCGGGGACGAAGATGGAACAGTACGCGTCGTCTTCGTCGGATGGGGGAGGCGCCGCCATACAAGTGGAGTGCAATGAAACGATAGATTGGTCGTCGTTTTTGATCATGTTGGATACCGACCAAGGGATGTCTCACTATGACTTTTATCCGGGGCTTGGTGATCAATTCTATCCTCTGCCGGTTTACGGCGACGCCGACGATAATGCCAACGGTGATGACGACGGCGACGGTTTTTTCTCAACAGTAATCATTTCTTTGGAACTTTTAAGGCCAAAACATCTCATTTGAAGTATTTTCGATATTCGATTTTCAAGATTTTTTTATTTATCGACACTTTTTCTTTAAGGCGCCCTGGATAATCATGAAGCCGGCAAATTTTAGCTGCCGGAATTGTGATTTTTTTTACCAGCTCCAGAGCAACGATGAAGCTATAAGAGAGTCGAGAGGTTTAGGCTTTTTCAGAATTTTTTGAAAACCTATTATTATATACGGTGTTGTAAGTCTTATAAAAAATTTGTTCAATATACCTTTTTTTTTCTTTTCAAAATATAGAGATGATGGAAAAGTAATTTTAATTTTCACTGTTTCTCTTTCTAGAATTTTTTTTCTCATTGACTCATTAACTTCTTTATATTCTCTCATCAACAATTTGTCCTAAACATCTTTTAAAAAATCATATAATAAATAAATATATAATTTTAGATGATATTTAATTTATTAAATAATATTATGAATCAAACTTATATATGTGTGTATTGTATCATAGTTGGAGAATCTTTTAAATTATAGTAATCAATTAGTATCACAACATTATAAATAAATGAATTTGAACAAAAATTTAAATAAATATATTTAATTTGATTTAACTCAAATTTTATAAATTTAACTAATTTTTTTTTAAAATAAAATTAAAAATGATAAAGTGATAGTTAAAAATCTCATTACATAGCGTGTAAGCTAGAAAGGGTCATGTGTACACCATCTTATGCTTATACACTAGATGCTTTCTTGATTGAATATGCTTATTTATCTGTAAACAATAAATAGTTTAGTGGAATGATTTCAATGCATTATCATTGAGAATCGTTGCATTTCCTTGAACAAGTGTTTTCTTCTGACTTGTCAAATCCCAATTCATCCGATAAGCCCTATCAAGTCTTCTCAATTGGATTTGGTGGTCGATATCCGAGCCAACTTCAACTGCTTCCATCTCCACAGACTTCTGTAGTGGTGGAGATGCTAGTGAGCATCAATCGGAGTTCTTCGACGGCAAGGATTCCGGGGCCTCGTTTACCAACACAATTCGGTCTCTTATAGAAAGCTCTGCGTTCTCTCAGCTACGAGATTTGCCCCATTTATTTGTGTTTGTTTTTGTGTTTTAGTTTAGGCGTTGTCTTGCATTTACCTGCCATGCAACTTGTTCGTAGTGAGATAAACGAGTTGATATTAAAAAAAACACTTTCTTACCGTATTATTTCCGGTCGATTGCTTTTCCGAGATGGGACCTTCTGCACGGACATGTTTCAGAGATAATGGCTTTACGTGCTTGCAGGTTTTGGATTATATCTATGCCTTCTATCAGTTATGACTCAAGTTATCGGCATATTGTCGACGCAATATGTTCGAAAATCATTGTTTTTTCAATTTCCTTGTTTGAGTCAATAATCACATATCAAACGTGAATTTTATTAAAAATAAGTTATGATTATTTCAAACATGAATTTTATTAAAAATAAGTTGTTTGGGGATGGGTTTACATTTCTAATGGAAAAATAGACTACCTTAAAACGAGGCATAAGCTGTAAATATTAAATAAAATATTTAAATGAAGTGATAAATGTGTCGTGTTAATCCATTACTTTAGAAGCAAATTCGTCCCGATATGTGTAATCGTTAAATGGCCCCCGAGGTTAGCACAACTATCCAAATTCCGTACACCCAAAATATGGAGTGGACTTGGTGATTCTGCTCTTCTCTCAAAACTTAAAGCGATACTCTGAACAGATTTATAAAAACCAAGGAGAGTGTTTCTATAGAAAACAATTGCTTAGAGATATTTTTATTTGAATTATATATGAAATGGAGAATTAAACATCCATTTATAGGCTCAACATAAGGGTAAAATGGTAAAAGATCCAATAACAATTACAAAATAATTAATTGTCATAAACATTATAACCATAAACTATATTAAATATTTTGTAACACCTATAAACGGTAAAATAAACTCTAATAAATAATAATATTTTGTTTAAAAAGAAACACATACTAACCGAATTGAACCATGCCAAACGGTTCATACCCAATTTGAAATTCTTTGTATTACCAACATTCATTCACTAATACAAAAGAATCTGTAAAATGAGAAATTTGAAGCTAAAACACGAGAAGAGTAATAGCGAGATTAATTGTTTAATCACTAGTTAACGTATCTTGAACTAGTATATAGTGATGATGAGTATTTCTTCTCTTAGATAAGTGAATGAATTGTTAGCTCTTACAAACAACCGAAATAAGTCAAGAGGGGGTTAAGAAATTTTGTGGAAGCAATCGAAAAATAGAAAAATTTTCACAATAATTTAGAATGGTTCGACACCTAAACCATGTCTACATCCACTACCTTAGCATCCATAATAAGGATTTCTAAAACCCACTAGCTTTGCTTACCTTTAAGGACAAGCTATAACCTTACATGCACTTCAAGGTTTATACCCCAAAACCTTGAATACACACTCTCCCAAAGAGTAAATACAAATAAAGAGAACAAATGAGAAAACCTCACAATGTAAATGTGTTTGCACAATTTAAGCACTCACCCAATACACACTTGAGCAAAATAAACGATGTAGCTCTCAAGTGTATTTACAACAAATAATTTGAAAAATTAAGCACAAAGGAATACTTTGATGTTGGTAGGTTGGTTCAATATGATTCTTGTTGACATTGGAAAGCTTTGACCTTCAATTTATACATTCTCCATCAATTCTACCTGTTTGGAGCCGTAGGGGATCATTATAGCCGTTACCTACAACCAAAAACAACATTTAGTGCGCAAGAGATCAATCCTTTGGTGAAAGAGATTGATCATTTTCAAATCGTTACAAGAAATAGATTGATCCTTTAGGGGAAAGGATCGATATTTTTCATCGAGAGATCAATTCTTTTGATGAAGGGATCGATCCTTTTCCTCGAGGGATTGATCCTTTTGTGAAGGGATCATTCTAAAACCTACTGGAATCCAAGTGGTCGATCCTTTTTCAAGGGGATCGATCCTTTGGTCAAAGGGATCGATCATTTTGCTAGAGGATCAATCCTTTGAGCCAAAAATCTTAGGAAACTTAACTTTGAAGCACATAAACTATCGAGTATATTTTTTAAAAGGTTGGACTAAAAAATATTTTTCAAGTTAATTTGGACTTTGAATTATTTTTCATAAAATTTTGACAAATTCGATTAAGTCCAAAATAAATTTTACAAATTATTGTTATATCAAAATCTTAGTTCAACAATCTTCCCCTTTTTTATTATAATAAAAACTTTTGAAAAAATTGTTTTTGAAAAATGATAAAACTATTTGAGAATTTGTGAGAAATTTAAGCTTCAATTTTTAAGTTTGAAAAATCATTTTTCATTTTATACTTGTTTCTCACCATTTTTTGTTTTATCAAAAATAATTCAACAATGTTAATATTATATAACAAAGTAGATAAAGTAATTAAAATAAACTAGAATCAAGAATAAGCATATTAAGGTACCAAAAGCACAAATATCTGAAAACATCAAATATATATAAATTCAAATATCCAACATGAAAATCATCCAAACATCAAGTAAACATAAATTTAAAAATACCAAGCATCAAAAGTCAAATATCCAAATGTAGCAAAGTCTAAAGATGAGAAAATGACATGATATGCATGCACAAACTAAGATGGAGATGAAGGAGGGAAGGAAAATTTGTCAAGTTAACTTTGGATTGTTCGAACCTTCTAGATCATACGAGTCTCTAATACATCCTGACGACACTCGATTACATCAAAATAGGAGTCCACATGGGCTCAAAGAGAACCAATAGAATGAAGCATCCTCTCCTCAAAAGCTCGAAAGAAATCTATGAGAGGTGTTGGGTCTACATAAGTCACTTTCTCGTGCTCCTCGCCAATGTCATCATCATGTGCATCATCCATATGCTCGTCTCCATCATGATCATCATCCATATGATCTCTATGGTGACTACAGACCCAATGCATGGATCCCTCGGGCTACTCCATTTAGCCGATCTTCGCCATAGTGCCACGAGTAATGGTACTCTCATCAGAAGGGAACATGACGAGCTCGTAAGATGTGTCGATCAAGAAGCTCAAACAAGTGACCGAGATACATCCCATACACTCACGATATCGTTGAAGATTATACTACCAAGGTAAAGCTTGTGACCATTTTGAATGCAAAACATCCACTAATAGTCACTTTTGCAAATAATGGAAACTTTTGTGCCACGAGCACAGATGCAATGAATAATAATAAGATAAAACAAACGGTCGTGAAGGGAAAAAGTGTGGATCTATTGTTTAAAAGGTGTATATCGAAAGGAAAATTGCCTTTTTCATTGTCATCGCTGGTAAGAGGGAGGTCAATGGTTTGGGCGATGAAGTAAATGAAAATGGTGACGGTATAACCTATAAGGTAAGCAACTATGGTTCGATATATGGAGATATAACACCCCAAATTCTGGGCTAGTAGTTTCCGACTTACCCGAGAGGTAAGTGGACCTCGAGGAATTTATAAATTAATTTTGTTGGGATTAATTAGGTTAGACTTGGGCCTAATTGGCCATAAAAAGGGGATTTTGAATTTTAAGGCAAATTGTGTGTAATACCCCAAACATCGAGTTAGTGACTATAGTGAAAGAATTTAAATTTTGGTGGGTTAATTTGAATAAATTAAAAAGTACAAGGATTAATTTAGGAAATTGTGTTTAAGACTTATTATTAAGAATGGAAGAAATGAGGGGTATTATGGTCTTTTAGAAGGAAATGAATTTATTATTCATTCTTTTAGGGATATTTATTAAGGGATGAATAGGAGAAAAAGGATAAAGCTAAAAACTTTGGTTCTCTACTTTTCTTCTTCTTCTTGCCACCGTGCCTCAATAGCAAAGGTAAGATTTCTTCAAGTTGGTTTTTCCTTTCATTTTTGGGTTGGTTTTGAAGCCTTAAGTGATATAGAAGCTTAAGGAAATTTTAAGAGTGAATAAAACTAATAGATTAATGATTTATTAGTGATTT